GGATGGCTTAATCCAGTTTATGAAGTTGTACTGTCCATCCAAGTTTTTGAAAACTTGGATAAGATTGTTTTGCAGAAATCCTTTGAAACTAAGCTTCTCGCTAATTCCCACCATTTCAGTGAGGTGAGTCTAGTGCCATCATGTAGAATGATCTGTTCATGCAGAACAGGCTGCAGAGTGCAGCATCTGGAGACTACCTTCTGGGTTTAGGATACTGTGAAATAGTAAATTGCTTGAGCCTGCATACAGGCTTTTACAGACTCGTGCTTTTCCTGTGAGAAATGGTGTGGATTTCCTTCTGTAATAGCTCTTGCTACTTGTCAGACCTTAGGGTGATTTTCCCCAGTCTGACAAACTTTGGGCAACTATGGATCTGGCATCAGAGATGACAAGCAATCTGCAATCATTGCTGTGCATCTGCTTTCATGTCTTGTGAGCTAGGTGGAAACTGATCTCTCCGCAAATGACTGCAAGGACATGTGCTCCACCTTGAGCTCTAAAGTTCTGACCTGTGTTCAGCTGCTCACTCTATGCTAGTACTTGAGCTCCTCATACTATTCTTTTCTCCCTCACATCTTTAAAGGTTACTGGTTTCTTTTGGTACAAACACCAAGTGAAAGGAGAGGGGAGGACGAAAGCCTAACAAAACTGCTGCTAAAAGCAGAGTTCTGATGGAGGCTACTGCTGTCTGCTCTGTTCAGCCATATGAGCCAGCCCCATAAAGTCAGGAGGAATTAAACTCAGGAGGAATGCATCGCTGGGGTAAGATGATCTGTTTCTTATTGGCTATGTAATTTTGTGGTATTTTACAAGACTTCTATTTCCCTATCCCACTTTTTAGGGCGCTATAATTAAATGGCAGCATAGCAGAAGAAAATGCTCTTAAGTCATTTTGCTCCTTAAAAAAATAAAATTTATGAGCAGATGGAGCCATTCAAGTTAGTACAAATTTGGGAATGATACCGGAAAGATAGTAGTAAATGTAAGGTCCAAAACTTAATTTTGATTTCGTAGCTGCTTTTTTTAGCAACTGTAAAGCTGAGAACTGGCACTTACGGGATGACAGCGATCTTTTAATAAGGCTGTGTGTGTTTTTACGTAGCAAAACCAGCAACAGTTATTCAGAAACATAAAAGATTTCTTCTGTTCTTTGAACTCTAACTGACAAACATATCCTCTGTTGTTTCATGCCCACTCAGATGAGCGTGGATAAATTTTTTACTTGGGAACATATGATATACTGGGGCACAGCTTACTGTTCAACTGCTGTATAGTTAATGTTCATCCTTCAATGTGTGATGTTTTCATTGTCAGGGTAGAACTTGGCCACTGAGAAACTCTTAGTGGGATTAAACCACCATGACAGTGGATCTGGTTTGCACTGAAAAAACTGAGGCTAGAAATCTTGCAAATCTTGGAACCAGTAGCACTGCATGTACCCGGTTCCCATAGCAAGCAGTTCAGAAAGCATGTAGTACCTTGTGACAGGGTGCATTTCCCATCTGTAGAACTTCTTTCTGTCTTTCTGGTTCCTTCCCATTCTTCTGTGAATGGCTTGGCTTGTCACTTGTTTCCAAGCTGGCTATTTCTTTTTTTTGCTTTACAGAGTACCCCAAGACAGTTTCAATCTCGTTTGTTCCCACAAAGTAAAATTGGGGCATCTTGAATTTGTGGTGAAATGTTATGGAACCGTGAGAAACTAGGACCTAACAGGAACATAAGGCTGGAAAATGCTTGATGACGGCAGAGTGCTTTGTGACACCAGTGTGTAATTAGGTGGTGGTTTTTCAAGGGAATGAACACTTGCTATAGCAACCTGCAGGTGCACCGATCCAGCTTAATGACTCTGGAGTCTTTTTATTCTGCTACATCTCTTACTTCACAAGCATTCAGCCTTCATAGAGTTTGTTGCTGGTATAGCTTTCTTGTTTTTCAATACTATGTGTTTTCTGTGGGTGTATTTCCAAAGGTAATGACAGATCCTGGCTCATATTTAACTAATAAAATGCTGCAGAGTTGTTAGCATAGGTGTGTGTTTCAGCCTAGATCTTGAAGTCTGGAGCCTTTGAGATTTTTCAGGAAGGTAGCAAAATTAATCTGTTTTCTTGCAAGCTAAAACGGACTATAAAGTTGCCGGTTCTTAAGCTTTACGATGGTATGAATTTGAAATACAGTCAGTGAAGGGTAAGTCTTGTCTTGCTTTTATATGTTAGAATATAAAAATTCTGAGGCAAAATCTGAGTTTATTCAGTCATGCATTCTCCTGCATGGCTCAATGACTTGAGGAGAATTTTTTTTTCTGTCTGCTGTGGTTTTAGTCAAGACTTTAAAATATCCTCATCTAAAAATCTGTGTTTCTCTTTTTCCTTCTAGTAGTTACGAAATGAAAGAATTACAAAGTCATCTGGTATGCTCTTTTCCACAGCAATGAGGCCTGCAATATTAAGCAGAGCACAAAGTCCCAAAGTGCTGGTTATCCAGTGGGGAAGCTAGGAGTGGACTTGAGTGGGAAGGGGCGGTTAGTAAGTCTTTGCATTGCTTTCCTTTTAGAAGAAACATTTTTGTTTTCATTTAGAGGGTGGGGAAATCATCTAGGGTAAACTGTAGCGTGTGAAGGCACGGACCCCGGTCGGTGATACAGCCAGAATCGTTTATTATAACCAACAGGCAGCTTATATAGTACCAGTGTCTCTTCTTTCCCAACCGACACAGCCCTGCAACCCCCAACCGCCAGGCGGGCAGAATTCCCCTCCATCAGTCAAGGGCGCCAGGCATTGTTTACAGGTCTGGAGATGCTTATGGGCCATCTTCTGCCATTGTTCCTGCTTCTTCTGGTCTCTGCTTCTTCCACAATCCTGTTAACCCCTTGTTCTCCCACAGTAACTGCTAACAGGGTTTCTCAGCTGGATAGTTTATTTCAGTAATATATCATGCTGTGAGGGAAGCATGACCATGGTCTGGCAGCAGAATAACCTGTCAATGCTGTATGCAGTACTTGAATTTCACTCGTCTTCAGAGATGGGTCATTAAAGTTCATACGTTAAGGTAACAGGGACTTCTGTTGGTCTCTTTCGGGGCTGAGTCTTGGTAATCTCAGTGAATAATCTTGAGTATCAACAGGAGCTCTTTTTGCATGTGTGCTCAAGAGGGAATCATGCAGGTTGTTTTGGAATAGCATCATCTTTCTTATAGTCGCACTAGCTCCTGCTGTGCACGCTTGAAAGCTGAGGAAATGTTGACTCAAATCTTCAATATGATCACTTCTCCTTGAAGCCCGTGTATGCACAGGATCTATTACACATGAAGGTATCTTTTGTTCTGTCAGGGAACCTGAGAGGAAATGAGTTTTCTTATTTTATCATAAGACCCCAAGTGATGTAGATTAATGCGTGGGAAGGTTTATAGTAGTTGATGAGTTGTAATGGTTCAGATTCTCTGATTCAAGGGCATACAGTAGGAAGTTACCTGCCCTATACTGACCACTTGTGGTCTCTGAAACTATGGTGTGCACCAAGCTGTGCCAATTAAAAAAACTAACAACCCACCCACCCCCAAAAAAACCCCCAAAACAAAACAGAAAACCCCACCTCATTTTGGGTAGGGGCCAGGGAGGGATAAGTTGGAACTGATCAGGTGTGGTCATTGTTTATGTGCTTTCTAGGATCAGAAAGCTCTGTCTGCAATCAGTGCTTGCATTTAAAAAAAATCATGGGAGTTGCTTTCATCTTCAGTAGTTCTTTTTAATTTGGATTATTAGGGCTTGGAGGGATGCCGTGAGGTGTACAGGCTGCAATAGCACCTAACTATGTATTTCACAATTCTTGTATCTTTCTATGTTAGCAGAAATGAACCAAGCACCAGCAAGGGAAATGGGTTCAGATTGTCAGAAAGTTATTTCCATGAAAATTCCTGAGCTGAGAACAGTAAGATAGAGAACTTGATATCCTCTTTAGTTTCGTGTAAGTCACTTATGGGGATTTAACATGCACCTTTTGCAGCCTCTGGTATTTCAGGGGTTGCTTATCTTCCTTAGACGCTCTTCTCCTTCAGGCTTTCTGCTGACAGGTATAGTTAGCAGCTTCTTGGAGGTCAAGTTGAGATGGCTTGCAATCTGCATGCGATTAAATATGAATAATCCTTTCCCTGTTCAGCAAAGCAAGCACTGTTGCGGATCCCCCTGAGGCTGATGAGAATTAAGCATGTGGCATAGTATTTTCTTGGGCAGATTCGGGAATCTGTGAGAGCTAGGCTTTGTTGTGAAGTTGATCATGGTCTTGCATCAGTGTGTCTACAAGCAGACATTGACGTTATATGGTAACTTGATGGAAAGGTAGCCAAGAGCTGCAGAGATTAATCAGAAATCCAAATGCACTTCCATTTGTTTGCCATCTTTGAAAGGATTTGTCTTATTTTTGCCATTCCAGTACTGCTAACCTGAGCACTGAGTAGCTGTTATTTAGGAGCATTAGGTAATAAATCTCCCCTAAAAAACTAAACATTATCTGAAACAAGCCCGAAGTGTCTGCAATCACAGGCAGTGAGCGTGCTTCGGTTACAGTGAGAGGTGTTCACAGGTGGTTACTGCCCGGGGCCTTTCCTTGCCTCCTCACCGACTGAAGCGCTAATGCTTCAAGCAGAGGCCACGAGAACAGAAAAAAACCCACCCGTTAGAAGTGCGCTTGGGCACCTGGAGGCCAAGTCCACCTTCGGCCGAGAGCAGTGGGCGCTCTGACCGGGGGGGGCTTTAGGGTGCTTTTTGCAGCCAGTGCTGGCCGAGTGCGCCCGGGGGCGCTGCCTGAGGCTGTTCAGGGAGCAGTGGCAGCGCCAGGCGAGTCCCTGCGCCTCCCGCCTCTGCCTGGAACCCGCGCGGGGGGATTTCTCCAGGGATTTCCGGGAGCGGGGTAAGAAATCGCCATTTCCGCAGCGGCGCTGCCGCCGCCGGCTCATCCTCAGCGGCCCCGCCCCGCCGCCTGAGGATGTGACGCCACTGGGGCCGCCCCTTCGCGGGCGCCGCCCTCAAATAGGGCTCCGGCCGCCGCCGCCGGGCAGCGCAGGAGACGCGGCCATGCCCGCCCCAGCCGCGCCCCGCCGTCTGGCTGCCGCCGCCCCCGCCGGCAAGGCCAAGCTCACCCACCCCGGCAAGGCTATCCTGGCAGGTAAGCGCCCTCCGGGTGGGGCCGCCGCGGGCATCCGCGCTGGGCGGGGGCTGCCGCGAGCCGTCCCGGAGGCAGCGCGCGCCCCGCCGGAGCTCTGTCTCTGCTGACCCGCCGGGACCGGCCGCTCCGCCGCGGCAGCCCCCGGAGCCGGCCCGTGAGACGCCGCTCTCCGGCTGCAGCCCCTCGGTGGAGCGGGGTTTCCCCTTGGCGGCAGCCGGAGCGGTCCAGCAGACGTGTCCCGAGCTTGGGCGTTGCCTCCCCGGGCTCCCGCCGCGCCCGGCGCGGGCGGCAGCGTCCCGTGAGGCTGCTCCTGCAACCTGTGGCCTCGCTGGGGAGGTGTCAGGGTACTTGCTATAGTAACGCAGGGTAAACGGAGGGGTTTCGGCAGTAGCATTGTTTAGCAAGGTTAGCTAGACTTAGCTTTTTGTAGCTAGGTTTTCACGTTAGCAGGAGGGAGCTGGAAGAGGCAGCAGCAGGGAACCTCCTTATGCACCCCCCGAAGATGTTAAGGGAGAAAGCTGAAGCTGCAGCGCTCAGGTTTTTTCTGCTCCAGCCGTGTCTTGCACACTGTTTTACAGCTCCTCTTACAGCTTCATGGTCACTCCTTTGTGTCTCAGCATCAGTCCCCGTGGATCGGGGCATGTTTTATCATCCAGTTTTAACCATTTCGGTGGGATCTAAACGGGCTCTAAGCGCAGCAGTAACTGCAGAGTTAATGCCCTTCCTTCTGCTTCTAATTGGTTTGAGCTTTGAGCTGAACGGAATCCAAGACAGTCAAAGGCTTGTTAAACTCCTTTGTAGCCGTTCATTAGCTCCCTGGTTTCTCCTGCCACTTGCAGGACAATTCCCAGAGTGGAGATTAGTGTTTTCCCTTTGAAATAAGCCACCATGGTCTCCACTTGATTTGCGTGTTTAGAGCTTTTGTGTTTTCCAGCCAATTCTTCCTCCTATGATTGTGCCTTTGTTTGTCTGTCCAAGTCTCTGCTCCCCTCTAAGGTCAGAGCTTCAGCCTCCTGTAGCAGGGACTGGGAGAACCAAAGCTGTGCCCGCCCTCCCAGGGTGCAGGGAGTTGAGCCCTTGCTGCTCCAGCTGTGCCACTGCCCTTGCTGTGGTGGTCGGCCTCCCCTTGCGCAGCTCCGGAGGACTGCTGGAGACGTCAGCGCCATGGGGAATGGGTGCAAGTGTTTAGGATGGGAAAGACAGGCAGCTTGCTCCCCGTCCAATCTTCCCAACTCACTGCCTAGGCGTGGTGCATCAGATTCTCGCTGTCTGGGCCGGTGTCAGGGGACTTTCATAGCCTTTGCTTAGGTCTGTAATCATGGAACATCAGCTGTGGATAGCTTATTGCCATACTCTGGCAGGCTTCCCCACTCTCCTTGGCCAGGAGAGTTGTCGTGGGTGTCTGGAAGCTGTTCTGGTGTAAAGGAAGGGACACAGTGCTTGTGGCCTCTGCCGGGTGTCACGTTGGGCAACATAGCACAAAGCTGCACGTGCTCCCACTCGGAGGAGCCCTTCTGGGTCCATGTGAGGCTGCAGAGGTGGAAGACGGACCCTAGTGAGATGGTAGTCATCTCTTTGCACGCAGCAAATCAGAGTAATTGGTTAATGGGCAGAAGTCCAGCCAAGTCTCTGTGGCATCTAATTGTATTAGAGAACCACAAAAATAGGAGAAAGCTGCTGTTAACTCCCTGTGTCCTGATCTGCTCAGCCCTCCAGCCCCTTGCTGAGGGGATGCAGTGCCATTTGTGGCTGTCTCTGCTGTCTTTAAGGAGTTTGGTGATGCTCTCAGGATTTCTCATCTGACATCTGTCTGCACAGCAAGGGCATGTGCTCCAAAGCTCAACCTTCTGGAGAGGTGGAGGTGTTCAAAATGGACATCCTACTGTGCTGTGCTTTGTCAGCCTTGTATTGGTGGACTTAAATAAGAAGCCGTCATTCCATCCTGGATGCATATCTCCTCTCAGACCCTGTGTGTAATTGAGATCCTCTGTCAGGAAGGCACAGCTTCCTCGTGCTACCCAGACCTGAGGAGGCTGGGACTGGCTCTTCTGAAGAGGCACAAGTGAAGGTCTGGCTGCTAAGAGCTGCTCTTCTTCAGTTGTCGCAACAGACAAATGCAAAGTTAAAAATTAATTTGTTAATGGGCTCTCTTTTGTCCAAGCAGTGGTCGTGTGCCAAGGCAGCACTTTACCTTGCTGTGACCACACAGCCTTGTGCTGCTGCCAGTGCCGTGGCTGTGCGTGGCCAAAGCACACGAAGCCAGCTTGGCTGTCCTGGCCGGTTGGGTGGGCATCACTGCCAGGACTTAGTCCTGGCAGCGATGGGGTTGCTCCATGGCAGACTGGGCTTCCAGAGGGCAGAGCTGAGTGGATGCGGATCCCTGCCACTGCCCAGCCCCTATACCACCTTTGCCAGGGGAAGAGTCCACTAGGCTCTGAACTGATGGTACAAAGTTGGTTTGGGGAACCTGGCACTGGGTCAGAAGGGACATGGCTGTAGGACGCTGAGATTTGGTATAACATGCCTTAGCTTCCATTTGGTTAAAATACTGGTAAACTTGCAGGCTTTATGCTGAAATTGATATTATATTTGTCTTTCTAATTCATCTCCTGGATCAGTTACCTGTTGTAAAGCTAGTGTAATTTTAATCTGAACTCACGAGCTGGTTTGAGGACCAGCTCGTGTCTCTTCTGCTGGGTAATAACCTGTTAGCAGGCAGACCTGGGAGTCCAGCCATGTCTTCCAGCTCCCCTACAGCCCGTTTTCCATTTCTATGCCATGGTTTTCAAACAAGCCCTTTAGCCTGGCAGGCTCTTGTCCTTCTTGCCAGCCTCCTGCGGGGATGGTTGCTGCTGGTCTACTGTGCAGCTCCCAGCATGGGTCCATGCCACATCGAGCAAGCGGGGAGCTTGAGATAAAGGCAGCGTGTGGTTAGGCAGGAGTGCTGGTGGTCACCCCTGTGTTTCCCTGGGGGGCTCCTTGCTGAGATGTTTGGTACTGCAGGGCCGTTAGATCAGCTCGGGCCAGCCTGCCAGGACTACTTAGAGCCCACTGCAAATGGTCCTCACCATTTTGCAGGCAATCCCCTGCCCTCCTCCTGAGAACTTTGCTCCTGGTTAGCAGCGGCCATTTGATGAAAGGCTTTGCCTGCCCTGCCCAGAGTTTAAGTACAGTCTTACTCTGTTTTTAGCCAGCTTTGAAGTCTGGGGTTTGCTCCCTCCCACGGAGAAGCTCCTAGCTGCCTTGCTCTTCACGTGGTAGCTCGGCTTACCCGAGGGCTAGTGCACAGTTGGTGTTCCTGCCTACACCTGATCCTGCCTGGTCAGGGAGGCAGGGTGCCTGGATGCTGTCCTACATGGTGCTTGATTTGGAAAGAACTTGCAATGGTCATGGCTGTTGCGCTAATGTTTGCTGTAAACTTTGAGTACTGCTGGGAAATAGCAGTGGCAGACACCAACGTCCCGGGGGAAGCATGGGCAGCAGGGACTCTGCAGGGAGAAAGAGAAGAGCCTGCAGGGTAGGGCACGAAGCACACATTTAGCAAAGAGTCCAGGATCACATTAGAAGCAAAGCAGTAATTAGAGCTTCAGTTTCTTCTTCTTTGTTAATCTCTTGATATGATCTTTCTTGGGAAATGCTGTACCTACAGAGGAGAGGAGTCAGGGACTGGGTTTGAAAGCTGAGGCTTGTTTGTTGCAGAGTAGGACTCCTTTCCCAAAAGTCCCAAGTCTACCTGGGCTTCTAGGGCCATTGCCCTCGTGGGAGAGAGATTGTGCTGCTGGGAATGACTGTGGTCCAGCACACTCTCTGGCTTTTATATGGATGACTGGTACTCACAGCAGAGTAGAGGATGTTCCCTGCCTCGATGCTGGGCTGGAGGGGTGCCGGGTGGTGGGCTGAACACAGCTGTGGGGGAGGGATTGGTGAACGTGGAGGGAACTAGTCTCACCAGGGCTGCTGGCTCTTGATGCATCACACCTGGCTGTGGCTTCCCCTGAGGTTGCCTCTCCTGCCTGTCATCTGTTTGGAGAGTGGGCAGGAGATGCTGGCAATGAGTGTATCCTTGCCTGCCTGTGAGCCCTCGTGGACTGCAGCTTCTGCAGAAACCTACAGCATCCCCAAGGGTTTTGGTGGGAGGGGGCTGTCAGCCCCAGGACTGGGAAGCCACATCGAGGTGCCTGGTTTGTTCAGTCTGAGTGAATTCTGGTGTGAGCTGGGGTTAACCCTGGGGTTTGAAATGTGAGTTTTTGAGATACTTGCATGTGTGATGCTCTGCTTGACATTCTGCAGGCAGCCATTTTCTTTGGGTTGATGTGAATGATCGGAAGGAGCCATCCGTCTTCCCAGAGGCAATGAGCACTGCGAGCTGACAGCTCAGGGATGTTGCAGCATCTCTCATCTCTGATGGCCTTGTGTGGTGCATGCCAATGCAGCCTCCCTGCTCCTGCCTGTGCAGTATCCTGAGGTCTCGGGTCACCTCCTGACAGCAGGGCTTGATTTCTTGCCACCTCTTCTCTCTTACTGTGCTCCAGTGCCGGGTACAGCAGTCGTTGCCCTGTGCTGGTGGCTGGGGCCCAGAGCCTGTCCCCAAGGAAGCCTCGGTCCCAGCAGTGGCTCCCTCATCCAATGATGGGGCTCTGCTGGGCGAAGTGTCCAGCAGCCCTGGGCTCTGACATCAGCTCCCTGTTGCCTGTCTTTAAAAGATTTTTGCACGCTTAAAAAGTAGATAGCTGAAGCAGGGTGATGGGTTGGCCAGGAGCCAGCTCGGCAGCAGAGCCAGGGCCTCGGGGTGCGCGGCGCAGTGGGGTGAAGGTGAGTTGAGCTGGGGTGGGGGACTTGGCAGTCCCCAAAAGTGATCTCAGCACTGCAGGCTGTGACTGTGAGCAAAAGGAAATGGCTTCTACCATCATACCTACAGCCAAGAAGTTTAAAATATAATAATGATTTATTGCAATATTGGCCCACTGAGAGGTAAATGCAAAGAGGCAATGAATGAGTGG